TATTTCGGAACTGAATCTAGTTACTTTGATATCGATGTATTCTAAGATATGACACTTTTTGTGTGTGTTCCTTGGCAGGTATATATAGGCCGTCGGCTTGCGCAGGATTGTTTTGCTTCGCCTTAAGACTTGTTTCTTTGCATTCCTTCATGAAAGTTTTTTATCCTTCCTACTTTTCATCCTTCCTACTCTCCTCTCTTCCTATGGCTGAATCATTGAATCCTAAGATGAATTATTGAAACTAATTAAGAATTAGGAAACAAAAGGATCTAGAACTGAGGCAAAAGTTTCAATCACCAAAACGAATTTTTCAAGTCATACTGAACCACATTCTGTAAAGGTCTATTATCTTCTCCGTGGCTAATTACTCCCAAAACGGTTGATGTTGGTACAACACGACATTTACTGCTGCATTTGTCCAACCGATATACTTGTGGACTAGATGGATCTTATTGGATCACATTTGTTCCCATATATTCTCTTCCAGATTGCAATTGTTAGCGTTCCTTTCTTCAAAGGCAATTTCAACGCCAGTCCCATTTTCTCCCTGTTCACAAATATCATTAACAGTAAAAGGCGTTCCTAAAGCACTCCTCATTTTCTTACACATTTCATCTCGTTTCCCATCATCCCATTGAAGAAAGGTGACATCCGATAAGAACGAGCGAAGTGATTTTGGCAATTGATTTAGTGGCATTTCGTTCAACATAACGACAACTAGTGTGTTCGGCTTTTCGATAGCGCGACGAAGTCCTTGATCGACTTCGAATTTGCACCATTCACTTTCGAGGAATTTTGGAGTAACGATGGTCACAATGCGACGACTGTCGTATATGGAGTCTACGATATTATCTAGAATGGCTGTACCAGGAACAAATTCTCGATAATGTAAGGATAATTTGTAACCGCATTCGTCCTCCAACATTGGTTTCAACGTCGAACGTACAAATGATCCGCCGTCTACCTCGCTGTAAGAGATGAATGCATCGTAACGAGCAGCGACCTCTAAAATAAATATATAATATATTGTTACTTTAAGTTGATACATTTTTATTTTTTGTCGTCACAGAAAATAAACTGGCAGTTATATACAGAGTAAAATTATTTAAATAACTGATCTAGATAAAAATGATCATGATAAGAATAGCATACAATAGGCAAAACGAACCAGCCCGGTTTACCGACCGAGCCCGGCTCATATGAATTTTCTCGTCCAATTCACGCCTGCGTACTATAAATACTACATTATAAACTGGGATCCGGATTCTAAAATGTCTCGACAATGCTTAACTTCTACTACAAACACATACCCTTTTTTATAGGACGATAAAATGTTAGCGCCTTGCGTCCCACTTTCTTTCTATGGGATAGGAAAAGCACTGCAACAAAACTGATCAGTAATAAGGAGCCACCAATCACTATCCATACCCCTTTCTCTTCGAAAAAACTTCCTTCATTATTAGTTTGAAGTTGACCAACAGCCGTTTCTAGAATATAAAATAATTAAAATATAATATTGAGTATACGTCATGTTCAAAAATTATCATTAATAGTTTCCCATGGCGGAAGACGAAATTTCACATTTTCAGCCACCATTTCAACATACGTCTGGCTAAGTATAAAAATATTCTCTTTTCTAAGGAATAATCTATATGAAAACTACATCTAGCCTTCATTGTTACGATTTTTAAAATTCGAAAGGAAAACATGAAATTTAAAAAGTCTAAACTAACAAACTCTTTCCGGTTTACCGAAGAACAAGAGTAGACTACAAAGATATTATCTATATTATATCTATATTGTTTTGAATACAAATGTCCGCTATCTGTGTCACACTAACCATGTTTATCAGGATTTAAACAGTGACTGTTTCCTCCTAATTTGAGCTTTAAATCCATGAGTTTTCTGACGTTATTGTTAAAACTATTGAACTTTTCGCTCACAATACTTCATTTATTTAATTTTAAAAATTAAATGATTCACTTGTTCCCTATTTCGTTGCTTAATAAATCTTCCTAAAATGAAAATTCTTACCTTCTTCCAACACCAAAATGAAAGTCGCGCTCGGTGAACCATAAGCGTTTGTTTTACATGTAATACTCTCACTCCTTGAAAAGTTGGAAATAGTTATGATGTGCTGAAGAGCAACTTCATTATTCCTAGCTGATCGAATTCGTTTTATATTGTAGTAACCATCGCGTTCGGTTATTTCTTCGCTGTTATTTCTTTTGCATCTGACTGTACTTGAATGCAGTGCTCCAAAACAAATAAAATTCCACACAAGCTCTTGACGACTTCCTTTTTTCCCCTGTATTACATCCTGACCAGGAGCTGTTACTACGGTGAATTTTCCAGAACAACGTGCTAGAAATGAATACGAAGTTATTATTTAAGTAAAATCGTTCAGTTCAGCCTACAGTAGCACGGAGAATGGCGAAACTTGACCACATGAAATCCCTATGGGAAAAACAATTACGTACAAAGATGCTTATTCAAACTGATACCCAGATCAACACCATATAAGAAGCGTGTCACCCAGAAACGTTATTTGCGGCTCTCGCGATTTCCATCTATAATATGTTTTGTTTCACTCCCCCCCCCCCCGTAGGCTATCGTTCCAGATAAAAGACATGGATGGAGTTTGCTTGTAAATACATATCAAACTTACTGATAACTTTGATATCTATGATAGTGTAGGTTTCAACTTCACCATACGGCGTTGTCGCATTACACGTGTAATTTCCTCCAGCATCTGATGTGGCATGAACTTGGAGTGTCAGTCCATGTTTTGTTTTGCGTATCGTAGAGTCATCTCTAATCTCCACTCCGTCTTTGTACCAGGTAATTATCGGACAGTATGGGTGGGAGTAAAAACAACAGTCAAGATAGAAGGCTTCACCTCGGTCAATTTCGGAATATGAATCCGTCGCATCGATGATTCGCAATGCCCCTTTATCTATAAACACAGTGATAATATGATTTAGAATATTGCCATCGAATAAATGTGAGCCACACAAAAACAACTACGATTTTTCGAATGAAGACAGAGTATATGATTCGCCCGTTTTAGCTTGAATAGGAATAAAAACATAAAGAGAAACTTACCACTTTCCTTTGTTAAATTGGTTAAGTCGGTTGTATTGCAATCGAAAGCATCATCTAATCCCACATCTTGAAAGGCAAGTTCGCACAAATCATCGTTTCCATATAAAGTTGGAAGTACAAACAAGGTGACTGAGACATATATAGTTAGAAATATCATGACATTGTTTGGGACATTTATATGCGTAGAAATCGCTAAAGAAGAAAGAAACAAATTAGCTTGGTAGAAAATTCCTCGTATGTGTGAGATATACATTCAATTAATAACATAGTCTCTATTTGGCCTATACTGGATAATTCGCCACTGATTCTAAAATATGAACAAGATAGTAAATGTAGGCGAATTTCAGTTTTGTCTGTTTTCGCTAAAGTATGTGAAAAAGTCGTGCTATGTAAATCAGTTAATACTTTATTCGACAATGAATGAAAAGACTTGCAATCAATTAAGTTTCGGAAACAAGAAGTGGCATTCCACTGAGACATTATTGATCTTGAACGGGATAGATGAAAGAAAAGTCACTGCATGAGATAAGTTTGAGAGCATCAACTATCCCACATCAACCATGAAAATTTATTGAACAAATTAATAAAGAGCATATCTGCCTCCAGTCTGCATCTGCTGTAACATCGTTTCCCCGAACAGTTTCTACTTCAAATATTCTAAGCAGTACGTAAAACGAAACAATTACAGATACACTACCATTTTACGTGAATTACTTCAAGGCAGTATCTTTAAAGCACTATACTGTTTTATTAGGGAGCGGTCATTAATTATTGGCGGGGGGGAGGGCCGGTAAATTTAGGGGGAGGGCTACCATTTTTTGGACCCCCTTTTGGGGAGGGCCAAATTTTTTTATGCCCATCTAGAAGGGAGGGGCACAAATATTTGGGCACCTATTTCATTAAAAAAAGTTATATTTCAATGACCAATTCAATGGGCCCGTACACGGATAATGAATGAAGGCTTCCATGCAGAGATAATTAAAACGAAATTTATTTCACCAACACCAGAACAATTTCTTTCACCA